TGAGGGCCCTCCCTACTAAGAACTAGTTTAGATCTATGAACTAACTTTACTTATACTCATCTTCCTTTATTTCTTCGGATAATACAAAATCTACTTCGTTGCTGACCTTAGCTTTGCCTCCCTTTTGTATCTTTAGCATCTCTTTTTCCTAATTACTGTAAGAGTAGTACTTAGAATCTAAATTGGTGAGGAAAAGGCATTTAGAAGTACACTACCTGCATTTTGAGTAAGGGAACTTGAGCTTGGGCAGGGATCACAGAGCTCCCCTTGGCTTATGACAGCCTGCTTTATCTTCCATGGAAGAGAATCAGAATAAGGCACAGCCTTCTAGGCTGAAAGTTTTTGGTAAATCACATTTTTTATTCCTCAGGATCTTTGTATAGAGCACTCACTATTGGTTTCTTTTTCTTCTTTTTCAATATTAAAAAAAATTGTTCTGCTTTATCCTCTACTATTGTTATTTTTCTGTACCTTTTTCAAATTCCTTTACTTTACTCCATCTTTTCTCTTCTTCCAAGTGCTCAGTGTTTGTATTTTCCAAGTCTCCAACCTGGCTTACCTGGCTTACCTGTCTTAGCAATTAAAGTACTAAATAGCCTTTTCTCTGAATAGTTAGATACCCTGTAAAGGACACTCCTAGGCTGGATGTGGTAGCTCACACCTGTAATGCCAGCACTTTGGGAGGCCAAGGTGGGAGGAATGCTTGAGCCCAGGAGTTCGAGACCAGCCTGGGCAACATAGCAAGACCTCATCCCTACAAAAAAAAAATTAGCCAGGTGTGGTGGCATGCACCTGTAGTCCCCAGTACTCAGGATGTTGAGGCAGGAGGATTGCTTGAGCCTGGGAGTTCGAAGCTGCAGTGAGCTGTGAATGCACCATGTCACACCAGCCAGCCTGGGCAACATAGCGAGACCCCATCTCTAAAACAAAAAAAAATTGTTTTTAAAAAAGGAAACTCCTTCAAAATGTTCATAGGTGCTGCTAACAAAGCAGAAATGCAAGCTGGCTAATGGAAGTCTGTTGCAATACAAGGTTCTCTTGTTATTTTTCTTATTTATTTTTGTTTGTTGAATGCAGGTAATATACTTTATAATTGAAGAAATCCAGATTAAATGAGTACAATTGACGCCAGGTAAATTTAACTGTCAACTTCCGAGGTAAGAGGATAGAAGAAAACAAATAAAAATTAGGAATGTATTCTTAAATGTAACACTGTAGGGAGGCAGTTTGCAGAGTAGTTAAGAACACAGACCCTAGAGCCAGAATGTCTGAGTTTGAATTGAGCCTCATTCCTCATTGACTGCAGCTTTGAGTACATTTCTTACCTTTGTTTTGCTTCAGCTTTCTCATCCATAAAGTGGAAGATAGTTTTTCTCTCATATGGTTATTATAAGGATTAAATTAGTTTATAAAAAACACTTAGGGCTGGGCATGGTGGCTCACGCCTGTAGCACGCTGGGAGGCCAAGGCGGGAGGATCGCCTGAGCTCAGGGGTTAGAGACCAGCCTAAGCAACAGCAAGAGCCCATCTCTACTAAAATAGAAAAAATTAGCCAGGTGTGGTAGTGCGTACCTGTAGTCTCAGCTTCATGGGAGGCTGAGGCAGAAGGATTGCTTCAGCCCAGAAGTTGAAGGTTGCTGTGAGCTAGGCTGGATGCCACAGCACTCTAGCCCTTGGGACAGAGTGAGACTGTGTCTCAAAAACAAACAAATAAACAAACACTTAGAACAGTGCCTGGAAATAGTAAGCACTACATAAATGTCAGTTACTCAAAATTACAATAATGAAAAGATAGAGGCTTCAGAAATATGTCAGTTTTGAGAAGTATGGATTTTTTGTAATGTTTCTGATTTTTAAAAGATCGAAATGTGGTTTGGATTTGTCCAAAAAAATGTTTGACTTAATAATTGACTAATGAATATTTAAGAAAGAAATCATTTTGTAAGACCCAGTATAGAGTGGGAAATTCCCCAAAGGGAGATGTCTGACTGGCATAAAAACCATTAAAGGAATCCTTAGCGCAATGTTAAACTCAACTCGGAAACATAAGCTTTACATTATTGTCCTATCAGTTCTCAAGTTCCGGGCATGTCACGGAAGCAGACAGACTTGGTTTTTTTCAAGTAGTCATTCTTTGTTATTGCTTTTGACTTAGATAAGCTACCTTGAGAAACTTTTTGTAGGCTTTGTGATTGTTATTTAAAGTGATAGCTGTGAAAGACTGTCAAAATATCTTTAACATTGTGCTTTTCAAAAAGAAAGGATAATTCCTTTGAAAGTAATGAGTGGATAATAGAATCCCAGATATCAGAAAGAAAAGTCTGTGAGCTCATGGATGGCATTCATCTGCCAAGACAGGGGAGTCTGTTTCAGGGGCTAACAGGTTTTGCTTGCTTCATTCTGCTGAGCACACTCAAGTTGCTACAATGAGGGCAAAATACACAAGGCAGTGCCCCAGCAACTACTTTTCCAGCCAGGAAAGACCATGGCCCTTCTGCCTCTCTACAGTAATGGCCAATTCACAGCCATCTAAGAATCTGGCTTTTCATTGAAAATGTGACTGACTTGAATGGCCTAAATGTTGATTACATATTTAATACATGTGTTAGGTAGATAGCAAGGGATTCCGGGTCTCCTAGGAATGAAAGTGGGCGCTGTGGCCCTCTTCTTGGTCCTGCCCCTCCCTAATCTCCCAAGCAACTGCCATACTTGGGGAGGAGGGAATACCCTACAAATCTGCCAATCATAACTTAGCGTGCCAGCTGCAAAAGAATACGGAGGACTCTCTAGCCCAAGGGCCAAGCAGCATAGGTACCAGAGTCTAGAAATTAACCTAGAATAACCTGCATCTGTAGAAATGCAACTCCCAACTGTCCAATCAAAGTGGTTCCATGGTGACATCTGAGCCACAGGGAGGTCCCAACCTGGGCACTATAAAACAAGACACAGACCATAACCAGGCTCTTTTGCACCCTTTCTTTTGCTCTCCCTTTGCTGCAAAAATGTGTCCAGTTGTCTTCTGTGGCATATGTATCATGCTCTGTAAACCTATATCTTGCTCTTGCCCTATAATCCTATCTTTCTCTCCCCAATAAACCTCATTTTCATGGTTGCCTAACTTTGGTGCGTGTCGTCATTCTTTGGCCATGCATGTGCCAAGAATCGACATTTTCACACCAAAACCTGACACGTGTACTTGTTTTAATAATATTTCTGAACAAGAATTTTAATTATAACAACTAATTTTTTCATTATCTATACATGAGTTATGGTAGCTTACAGCCAATGTGGAGATTAATGATACAAAAATAAAGCACAAATCTGAATTTGAACTGAGAGCATGTATAAAAAGATTATAGCATTAATTACAAGAGTTAGAACTTCAGAATTTGAGAGGCAGCATGATTTGGTGGAGCAAATACAGGTTTAGGAGTCAGACTGGTGAGCTTTGAATCCTACCTTGTTTATTTCCTACTCATTTGAAACTGCACTAGCATTTAATCCCTCTAAGCCTATTTCTTCATCTATAAAATGGGCACAATATTGACCTTGAAACCTTGCAAGAGTTCAACTAGATATATATGTGAAAGGCAGAAAAATTTTGTCTCTCCAGTATTCTATTCAACTACTCCCCCTCCCATGAGGGGGTGGGGGAATACCAAAACACTAAATTTCCAGAAAAACAGTCAAAGTTTTCAGTAAAAGAGTATTTTCTGTGTAAAATTATTACCAAGAAAGTACTTCATAGGCAGTGGCAGAGGGGAATCAACCCTTAATCAGTTTAATAATCACCTTGGTTATTAACTCTGTGGTAACTAAATCTCAAAGTACAAAAAAGGGAGATTTTCCTTAGTATAGCAATGAAAACACCGTTTGTATACACAGCAAAGAGACCCAGGAACCTTAACATTTTCCCTCATTCTACGGATAGGAATCAAGGATATTTGTAGTCAGGTCACTAGAAAGTTATGTATGGGAACCCATTACTTAAGCAGTGGGCATTTTATGTCCGGTTTCTCAGGACTTGATGAAACCAGGAGAAGCCGTCAGGATGGTAACTGATCTGGAAACAGACGCTTGAGCCGGGTTAATTTTAGAGATTGTCCCAGACCATCTCCGCACACCAAGTGGTATCTTTCACTTACATCTGAAAATGTAAAATCTTCCACGCAAGGATGATCTAAGCGGGGAAGGAGATGACAGGTGACCACCTCCTATGTGGGCTCCTACGTGGTAGCAGGAAGGAGTGGAAGGTAGGAACCTAGGGCTTCCCTCGGGAACCCAGCGGCCTTCCTGCAGCCTCCGGAGTTCCCCTCACACTCCTCAGAACCCTCAGTGCACCAGACAGAGTGAGCCTGAAAGAGGCCAGTCAAGAATCGCCCTCCCGTCCCGCCTTCTTGGTCCCCTCCCAGGGTGGCCCCTGCCCGCCCAGGACCGCGAAGCACCATGAGCCAGGTAATGCGCGTCTCTGCACCTAAAGTGCAGCAGGGTCCACGTGAGTCCGAGGTGCACAACCCCAGTGCAATCACTAACAGGCATTACTCTCGGGGCCCGTGTGCGTCTTTCAAGGATGTGCGGAAATTCTCCGGAAACCAGCCACAGTAGAAAGACGCAGGCTCTCTGTGGAGGCAAAGCTCGCTCAGCCTGGGCGCACGGAGAGAAACCTCGGGGGTCATTTTTATGTTTCCCTTCCCCTAAACTGATCTGCAGTCAATCTGTCTCTAAAAATAATGTCGGGGGGGGGGTCAGTTTTAAAAACAGCTTTTGAGAACCCCTGAGAGTGCGCAGGGACAAACAGTTGCACTCACCTGTCGGCGTTGGGGACGAGCGCGAGGCCGCGCGAGGCAAACGATCTGGCGCGCAGGCGCACACCGTCCCCCCGCCACGCCTTCTGCCACGCCTCCGTCACGCCACTAGTCCCACCCCCCTCCCCGGCCCCGCCCCGCTGCTCGCCTGGCCCGCCGACCCTCAGCATCTTCGCGAGCGGGCCTTGCCTCAGCCTGCGCTGCGCCCTCCGAGCCTGGGACGTCACTGTACGGGCCTCCGAGCTTCAAACGGACACCTCCAGAGGTCGGGCGGGGGCGGGAGGCGGAGCGAGCGGTGGGGGCGGTGTCGCCGCGGTCTAAGGACGGCGGCGGTAGCGGCGGCGGAGTCAATAGTCCCTGCGCGATGGCCGCCTCGGTGTTGTGCTGCCTGCGGTGCTGCAGAGACGGCGGGACCGGCCACATCCCTCTGAAGGAGATGCCGGCAGTGCAGCTGGACACGCAGCACATGGGTAAGGGCCTTCCCTTCCCCAGACCCAACGGCCCACCCGGGCTGGGCGCGGCGGGCTGGGGGCCCTGCGGGAGTCGGAAAGACCACACGCCGCCAGGCTATCTGGCCCCGCCGCCGCCGGCGAAGCCGCCCCTGACACCATTTGGTCTCGCGGATCGCTCCCGACGCCGGCCGACTCCACCTGGGCCGGGTTCTGCGTTCAAGGCTGGGCAGCCCTGTCTGTGCTTGTCATCGGGAGTGGGTGTGTTGACCTCCTCCTTCTCACTGGAATCTCCGCGCTGTCTCCTCCTGAGATGTTAAATGTCCCCAGGCGAGGGGAGCGGGGAGTGCTCTGGTGACCCTCCAACAGTGCCCTCCTGTCGTGCTCCAGTCAAAACCTACACATTTTCCGGTCTTGCCCCTTCTTCTGCCCTGACAGTTGGTTGTTCCTCTTTAGCCCCGTCATTTATAGGTTGCAGCTTGTTTTATTGGAGGTAATTTTCCTCTCATCTCCTAAAACCAAAACAAGTCAGATTGCAGAAGCCCGAAGTCGAACCTCAGGACAGAACGTGCCATTTCAACTAAAACCTCCCTTTGCCCGACTCTTCCTTAGTCATTGTGCTGTAATTTCATCTGACTGGCCTCTTCCCAATAAGCTATTGCAAAATAAAATAGCACTTTGCTCCTCTGCATCTATGTTTTTTCCTTCCAATTCCAAGTGGCCACATGACTTATCTAACATTCTTCCTCTTTCTCCATATCCTTTTTCACCATCTTGTTTCTGTTATTATAGTTTTCCTGTATAGTTCCATGCTTCTGGAATATGGCTCTAGAAGTAGAGATTTCCTAATGTAATTATTTCAGCTACTGTCTTTTGTGCATTATTTTATTCTAACTATACTTCTCTGCACTTTTGATGTTTCCCACATCTTTCATTGTCTAAAAGACAGTGTATTGAAATAATAAAGGCAATTCTTAATATTTATAGCAAAACCCTCTTCCACCTAGATTCTTTATAATTCTGGAAACACTCTGCCCATTATATTATATTTCTATAGCACATACTAAATGTGATAATTATTTACCACCTTGTACTTGGGTATTTACTTTTCATTCCTAGATCTCCCAAGTGTAGTTCAGAACCTTAATAAATAAATAAATACATATATTTAAATCATTTCTTATCCATCATCATTTATAGACAGTGGATGTTCAAATCCTGGAATTTCCCTCAGAAAATGTTTCCATTTCATTTATTCATTCACTGAACTGGTACTAAGCAACTATTAATAGCAGGTGCCAAGCATTGTTATAAGGTCTGAAAATACGCTAAGGGATGATGGTCCCTAGCTCCTGGAGCATATGATCAGCTTTAGCTCTTCTTCCTATTTCTTCTGCCAGATTCTTGAATTACTACAGTCTGCTTTTTAGAGCATTTCTTTTCTCTGGCCTGTTTTCTCTAGGAAGAACAGTCAGTCGTATTCATTCCACTATGTTTTTCTTTTCCCAAAGCTGTCCAGTAACTTTCAGCTACTAACTGGATGAAGCAGATTAATGTCATCTCCAAATTTTTTACCTGCATGGAATTTTTGTTCTTAACCTGTTTCTAGTAAATTTAAATTCTTCAATCACAGAAGAACCTGAGGAGAGCACCTGAATAAAATGAGAGGGAAAAGGTTATTGAGCTAGGAGAACATGTTTCAAGCATGAATTGATCTTTTTTTTTTTTTTTGAGACAGAGTCTAACTCTGTTACCCGGGCTAGAGTGCCATTGGTTTGGCCTAGCTCACAGCAACCTCAAACTCCTGGGCTCAAGCAATCCTACTGCCTCAGCCTCCCGAGTAAGTGGGACTACAGGCATGTGCCACCATGCCCAGCTAATTTTTTCTATATATATATTTTTAGTTGTCCAGATAATTACTTTCTATTTTTAGTAGAGACGGTGTCTCGCTCTTGCTTAGGCTGGTCTTGAACTCCTGACCTTGAGCAATCCACTGGCCTCGGCCTCCCAGAGTGCTAGGATTACAGGCGCAAGCCACAGCGCCCCGCCTGAATTGATCTTAACTTGCATGTATGAGAAGCATATGTATTTGGATATGTGAAAGGTTATATTAGATAACCTAAAGAATGTGATTTTTTTAAAAAAAATCTTTAAGGATTGTCACTTATTCTGATGATGTTGCATTACTTAAAACCATTTTGAAATTCCTCTTTTGGAATTTTCTGCCACATAGTTTTTGTAAATATCTTCATTGATGCCATATCCTCTGCTTTTAATCATGAATTGACTTTTTAGATACAAATGACTTCCAAGGTAGCTACTTTGAAAGGGATGCCACTCATTTGGAAATTTCTAATGTTTCTTGAAACATACTCTGCGACTATGTTTATAAGGTCTTCTGGCTGTACTCAAATTTGGCTTCACTTTCTAAGCAATACCAATGACTAATGAAACTACACAAATCACATAGATCCAAATACAGACGTCCTTGTACTTAATAAAGAAAAGTGGAATAAGCTTAAAGTGATTCCCTAGTGATTCACAAATACCCCAGAATGTTCTCTGAATATATTCATTTTTCTATATAAAACTTCTCAGTACCTAACAGAATGCTTTGGAGATTAGAAATGATGTTGAAGTAAGAGAATATATACCATTTTCAGAGTTGTTTCTGTGGTTCCAGCTTATAGAGCAGACTGTATTGTATTTAGATTCTTCTGCTATTTCCATTAACTTAACACCTTAGGATGATATCCAAGATATAAGTTACCTACTATAGATGCTTTTTATTACAGTTTTTAGTATGTATGGGGGACCACAGAGCATTGCCAATTAAGAAAAAAATACCATTTATTTGCATAATTCCTGGAAGTATGTTTCACTTAGGATGCTTTCAGTTGTAAGTAGTAAAAACTACAACTCAGAATTGTTTAAACAATGAAGGAAAAGTACAAAGGCAGCAGTGCCTTCAGGAAAGACTCAGTGCTGCCAAGAACTTGGTTTCTTTTCATTTATTTCCTTTGCCTTCTGTTACTTATTCCTAAAGGCTGGCTTCTGTGGTCACTTGCTGCAGCTTCCTGGGCTGTAGGCTTCCTCATTCAGGTATAGCAAGAATGAGAGAGTGTCTTTATCCCACTGTTCTCTGCAAAAGTCCTGAGATGCTCTATTGTAGTTGGTTGGGTCATGTAACCATTCTTGACTCAATCACTGTGGCCAAGAAATGTGGAATACACTGATTGACTTAACCTAGATCGAATGCTGTACCCCTAACGAGAGAGGTTGAGTCAGCTTCCTTGGAACTGTTTTGATCTGTTAGTCTGTTAGAAAAGGGCAAACAGATACTACATTTCCACTACAAAGTGTTTAGCACAACATATTCACTCTTTCATTTCTTTATCAGTTATTTGATGAGCATCTGCTAGATGCCAAACACTACATGGTCTTTGCCATCAAGGAGGGTGCTCTCCAGTTGAAACTACTAGAGGAGCACAGGGCAGCCAGATGCAGATTATTTATAAAGGTACTTTCCCAGAATTTGAGGTTTCACATTTGTATTTAGAAAAAAGTGGGTGCTAATGAATTTTTAATAATCATACAATCGGATCTTAGTTTTACCTTATTTAAAAGAGAGCATTTCTCTTAAATCAACCAGTTTAGAATTGCGATAGAATCTGAAAATTTTACATTCCTCTTATGTATTTGTTCTAAATAATTTTTTGTTTAAATATGAATTTAACCTTTTCTTACTATGCTCTCATTTTATTAAAGGCCTCCTGGAGGAGTCCCATATAGTTCTAATATTCAGATCTGCTTTGCTTGTACACTTATTACAAGTGAAGCGGTAATATTGGCCACAGGTCTTGGGAGTCACATGCCTTAGTGTTACGGGCTATTTCTTACATATTAGAATTATGTTCTTCATATTTTCTGATATACTTGCGTTCCTAAATCAATATTTGGAAACAAATTGGTACTGGGGTCATATATTAAGAGACAATGTTTTTCTCACTCTCATCTATAAATATTGTTTGAACTAAAACTAAAATTTTCTATGAGAATAAAGTACCTTTGAGAATGTTAAAACCTTGTTTGCATATTTGCAATGTGGTTGAAGTAGCTATCTTAATAAACATTTTAAGGTCCTTAAATTAGCATTTTTTAGTGTCAGGTCTTTCAACATGGATGTATATTCCTTTCTATATTCTGTGTACTCTTCAGTTCTTACATGACTAATGTACTAGTATAGTACCTTGTACTTAGTAGATGTTCAGCTGGGTTTTTTTTTTTGTCTTTTTTTTTTATTTCAGCATATTATGGGGGTACAGATGTTTAGGTTACGTATGTTGCCTTCCCCCCGCCCAAGTCCGAGTTTCAAATATGTCCATCCTTCGGGTGGTGCGCATTGCACTCTTTGTGTATGCATATACCCGTCCCCTCCTCCTTCTTCCCTCCTCCCCCTCCCCCCTGCCCAACATCCAATAGATGTTATTCTTATATGTGCACTTATGTGTTGATCAGTTAATACCAATTTGATGGTGAGTACATGTGGTGCTTG